CAGTTCTGGGCTCCCCAGTTCAAGAAGGATGAAGAGCTACTGGAGAGAGTCCAGCGGAGGGCTACGAGGATGGTGAGGGGACTGGAACATGTCCCCTACGAGGAGAGGCTGAGGGAGCTGGGCTTGTTCAACCTGAAGAAGAGAAGGCTGAGAGGGGACCTAATATATACTTACAAATATCTGAAGGGTGGGTGTCAGGAGGATGTGGACAAACTCTTTTCAGTGGTGCCCAGTGACAGGACAAGGGGCAGTGGGCACAAACTGAAGCCGAGGAAGGTCCGTCTGAACATGAGGAGGAAAATCTTCCCTCTGAGGTAGACAGAGCACTGGAACAGGCTGCCCAGGGAGGTGGTGGAGTCTCCTTCTCTGGAGATATTCAAGACCCGCCTGGACCAGGTCCTGTGTCAGCAGGAGGGTTGGACTAGTTGACCCACAGAGGTCCCTTCCAACCCCTACCATTCTGTGATTCTGTGATTCTGTGCATCCTGAGGAAGTGAGTGTGCTTAGGGACTGGGAAACATGCTGGGAATGGACTGAGAGAGATGGTGGTGTCAGGGATGGGACAGGAGGGTTCTTGTTAGGCATCGTGGTAAGCAGTATTGACTTTCAGAAGCTTCTTGAGCATTTATTGTTGTGACCATTTCCCATCCTTGGTTGCTATAGAGGGACATAGCGTGGGGTGCTCTCCAAAATTTCTGGCTGGAGCAGCCTCCTCTCAAAGGCTCCAAGTTTGTTCATGTCATCTGTTTTCTACTCTGATTCTCACTGTTTTCTCTACAGCCACTCAGATCTAGCCCGCAGATTAGAAAGTAGCCCTCAAATTGGGTCAGAAAACGTACCGCATTATCCTGGACAAATGCCGACCCCCATACTCCATCTAGTTATCTGAAGTACCTTCTTTCCCACAACTGTATTTGTAGGGGCACTCTCCTGACATTTTTCAATGGGGACAGGTATCAGATCAAGACAAGATTCATAAAGACTTTTCTAAATATTTTTGAAATGAGCACCCTTTAATTAGTTAGCATAGGACGGATGAAAGAGTTGTCAAGCACTGAAACAGGCTGTCCAAAGAGTTGACTGAGTCACCATCCCTGGGGGCATTTAAAAGACATACAGACATGGTGCTTAGGAACATGGTTTAGTGGTGGACTTGGCAGCGTTAGGTTCACAGTTGGAGTTGATCTTCAGGCTCTTAAGGTCATAAATCTTAATGATTCTATGAAAATAATATGTTACATGCATTTTCCCCAATCCCTTTGGTTTCCTGTAGACTCAGAAAAGATTTTTCTGAGCCCTCTGACACAGTTCGTTTCCTTCATTCAATTAATCCCAATTACAAGCACTCTTCTGGGGCCAAACGGGTTCTTTGTTTGCTGAGAGTTCCTGCTATGAGAGGGTGCTGCCCAAAGTATTCATTTGATCTTTCCACCGCTTTTTGCTTTGACTCTACTCTGAACAACAACCACGCCATGATTTTGGTTAGCAAATCACTGGCCAAAAGGTGGTCTGCTGTCCCTGCAAATCTCTTCTGTTACTGTGATGCTCAGTGAGGAGTGCAAGAGAAGTATTAGGAGTCCTGCCAGAATACATCCAAACAGACTGCATTCAGTTGTGTATTTGGTTTGTGCTCCGGCTCTCAGCTATATTCTTACATTGTATTGACTTCAGTAGCGCTCTAGTTACATTGCCAATGTCAGACTTTTGGCTCTTCGTCTTTACAATGATGAGGAGAAACTTCATAAGGTAAAACAGTACACCATATTTCATGCATGAGCACAAGGATATGTAGAAATCTAATGTAGGTATGTGCAGACATGGAATCAGTCACCTAACCGACCACAGCTACCAGCACATATATGATGTGTGTACCTACACATGAGAAGTGTGTGTGTTCATATCTGCCTACCTCTGCCCACAACTTAAAATTTCTAAAGTAAAATAGGGAACTTGCCACAGTTATTTCTGGATAGAAACACTTTGCCTCGTTTTGGTAAATGCTTCTCTTTAAATGAAGTAGAATTGTAAAAACACGTAATGATAACTGATTGAGCTTGATGTTTATCAGAAACTACTCTCTTGGATGGCATCTTTCACAGGGGGCAAAAGGTAAATACTTATGTCCTTAAACTGAACCATGTGAAAGAAAGACTACTGAAATGAAATATATCTGCATATGATACAGACGTTGCCCTTTACACTCCAATTCCCTCCAATGGGAATTCCAGTGTGTAAAGAACCTGGACTAGGGGTATGTAGAATCATGGAGTAAATTAAGCTGGAAGGTGCTTCTGAAGGCTATGTGATCCAGCCTTTTGTTTAAAGCAGATTCAGTCAGATCAGCATGCTTAGGGCCTTGTCCTGTCAAATTTTGGGTGTCTTCAAGGATGGAGATTTCAAAACCTCTCTAAGCAGCCTACATCTCCCTCGCTCTCCCCTCTGGTCTAGTCTTAGGTTGTTGCCAAAGGCAGAATTAAACCTGACCAAAATGCACACCAGGAAAAAGTATTCTGTTTAAAGAAAACCAAAACCAAACCAAAACCAGTGGTCCCATAAAATTTTCCAATAACTGGAGCATGACTAGTGAAAACTGGTGAAGGGAAGAGAGGATTTGATAGCAAAGCACTGAATGCATTAGAGAATTTTGGACTTTCGGGACTGCTTTGCACTTTCTAGTTAAAAGTTTCATCAGACCAATTCTTGCTTAGCCTTGAGAGTAGACATGTACAGCCTATGACTAAATGAACAGACTCAATCTTCCAGAACAACTCATCTGGTCTTTAGCTTGTTTCTTGCTTTCTCTTCTGACAGTCTGAAAAGTTTCTGCCAGGCTTGCAGCTCCTTTTCCCTATTGAGGGGAGGATGGCAACTTTTCTATTATGGGACGCCAGTGCAAGTGGTCCCCCATTGCATGACAGATGTAGTTGTGGCGATCCAACTATGCAGACATTGACGGGAGCAATACAGGAATGGGATAAGAAAAAAATGCCTATATGCTTGTCTTTTCAATGCCTTTAAGAGAATCTGGCTCCTGCACAGTGAAAGACTGGACATCTCTGCTTTTTCAGTTCAAGTAAAATTTCTTCTGAATTCAAACTAAACACACTGGATTAAGATGAAGGCATATCTCTAGCATGCAGTAGATGATCCAGTTTTGTTCTTGTGCTTTAGTATCAGCATTGGCATGACCACAGGAATGGTCAAGAAGACAGTATTTTTTCCTGTTATGTGCTTTTTAGCCATCTCTTCCCAGTGCAGCTGCAGCGTTTATTCATTCTCATTCTAATCATGTCTCCTTCAATATCTTTTTAATTGGATGCATGACACCTTCTCTCCCAGAGCAAAATGCCACAAGCAGACAAGGTGCTCACTTGTGAGGAAAAGCAGCCTGATCTGCAAATCGGTTTCTTCAACCCCACATTATTTTTTTTTTTTTCTTCATTCTCTCTGTTGGAAAGATAAAGAATACTGCTTGCAGAGTGCAAGAAGCTCTGGCTTAGCATTTTTTTAGGAAGAACTTTTAAAAGTGTGTTTTAGAAAGACTCCAGTGGCAGTTAGAAATGGATGTCTGTATAAGAACAAGTACATATTTACAGTGTACCCAAGCCTGATGCTTGACTAGATGCAGAGCTGGAATGGTTTCCCTCTTGGAAACCACAAGAAACTAGGAGTGTCAGTCTGGGAGCCACAGAT